GTGTGTGTGTGTGTGTGTGTGTGTGTGTGTGTGTGTGTGTGTGTGTGTGTGTGTGTGTGTGTCTTAAAAAGAAAACAAAAAAAAACAGCCTGAAGCACAAACAGCACGTCCTGGCCACCGCCACCTCCGCCTCCTCGCACTCCTCCTCCACCACCTCTTCCTCATCACTGTGCCACCTTCTCCATCTGTTCTCCTCGTGCCACGCCCTGCTCCGTGCGGGGATGTTTTGTTCCACGGTTTCAGAAATTCAGACCTTTGTGCAATGACCGTGTCAAAAAAGAGGTTTCTTTTTTGCCGCTACCAGGATTTCGCTTTTTCGGCTTGCACGAGTTGAAATGTCAAGCTCACACACCAATCCATGTGTATACTGACTGTACAAAATACCGAATGCGGTTAGTCTGTTGTTGCGGCGCATTATGTTCAACATGTTTCGGTTGCAGCGTCCCTGCAACGAGGTCTGCGTTCCAATACAAGTTTCTCCCACATCAAACTTCTGACGGAAGATTACCTGCCTTCGGTAGAATCGTTAAATTTGAAGTGGCGTACATACAAGTGACTTTTGGCAAACAGATCATGAATTCAAATTTCAAATCCTTATCGATAGCATAATGATAGTGGCTGATTCCCCTTTTCCCAAAAACACATGCACAAAAAGAGGATAGACAACTGGTGAGGTCATAATATGGATGACAGGAAATCAGGGTTGCATCCAAGCGGGGGGGGAGGGGGGGCACCACGAGGGATGGCTACCCGGTCAGGGAAAAAAATTGAAAAAAAAGTCAAAAAACAAAAACAAAATACTCCTCGATCGAGGAGCGATCACCGTTTCCAAGCCACTGCTGCTTCTCTCGTATAAATTCCGTGAGCTACCGTGGGAAAGTAAACCGACCTGGTTCTTTCCGCTCCGGTGCAGCCCCTGCATGTAAAACCCTCATTGGAGGCTTGAGCTCGGGCTGGTTGCTATGGGGTTCCCCGTAATACTAAAACGACAAACAGAAAAGGCCCGAAAGGCCGTGCTGTCCAGTGCTGTCCAGATTTGAGGGGTTTTTGAATTGGTTGGGCTTAAAAGAATTAGGCTTTCCAGAAGAGGACGTAGCCGTAATGTAAGCCCACATAGTTGAGAAAAATAAACAAATAAAAAGAGCACTCGACGCAAAACTTGGGCAATAGTACAGCGTGAACGCCACAATGGTTCTCGAGTTTCGGACGATTCCCTACCTATGGACTGGTTGACCGCCTTCATGCAAAGGTTCTCGTAATACTCTCGACCAGGTCCAGCGCGACTCGTTCCCCCATTCTTCTTGCGTCCCTCTTGTCCATCGGGACCGGGAGTTCCCCGACCCAAAGCGTGGGCCAGCTTCACTTTCGGTAGACGGTTGTCTGCGCCTGGAGATGGGGCGATGAGCTTGTCGACAGCGGCTTTTGTTAGCATATCATCATCACTTTTAGGCCAAAAAAGTGGATTGCCCACTGCGTCGGAACACTCGGGGCCCTCATCCAGGTACCGCATTCGCTCGACCAGCTCGGGATCTGATGGGCTTGGATATGGAAGTCCTACCATAACGACGCAGCGTCCCATGCCGTCACTGAAGTTGATCCCTTCTGAAAGCTTTCCCCCCACCACACAGAGCATTACCGCACCACTCTGACGCGCCGCTTTGGCTGTACCCAAGAAACTCGGCACGGCATTTCCTTCATCGGTATACTGTGACGGTGGCGCGTGTGCAGTGGCCGCCGTGTCCCCGCCGCCCTGGATTACTCGCCTGTACTCGTCGAGGACCTTGTCGATGGCACTGGTCTTTCGTGGTTCTCGAAAAATAACCTTCTTGCCCTCAATGGATGATAAGATCCCGCTCCGCATCCAATGATTGTAAACCGTGGTCTCGTATGCAAATGATGGGAAGAAGCAAACGATACCTTGCGGCACGATCGAGCATAAATTCACCATCAACCGCCCCAGCTCCGTTATCTGAAGGGGATGACACAACAGGAAGCCCATACAGAATGGCTGTTAGTGTGTGTGCAATCTTTCTGTTCTGCACCGCCTCACGAGTTCCCCCAAACACCCACCCACTTACTCATCACCCACCACCACAGACACATAACAAAACAAAACAAAACACACATGCCTGCACCCGCCCGCCTACCA